GTAGAAACATGGCAGTTCAACATGGCAGACTCCATAGAAGAGGACCCAATCCCTCTATACATAAAACCATCCTCATTCTAAGGTAACGGAAAACAACAATTTTTATTTTCTGGTGATTATACAGGAATGAAATGGTGAACGATATCTTTGGGATTACATTCAGAGCGATGGCGGTGATATACAACTTCTCAAACACTTTAATGAGACAATTTTAGGCAGAAAAATACACATTAAAAACGTCGCTAATGGAGTCTCTAATGTTTGGTCCTTACTGAAGTATACATTGTTTTTTCTTTAAAAGACGATGCTCGTAACAGAGCAGTTACAGGTCATAGATAAACATTTTCCTATTACACATTAACACACAGTGTTATTAATCAGTGTGGATGCTCACATTATTAATGTTATATTTATTGGTTTTGCTGTCTACGAGCATTTTAAGGAAATAAAACTATATGTGACTTGATGTTCATTCTCAGTAGGAACCAATGATTTTAAAGGACCAGCGTGTAGGACTTAGTGACATCTAGAGGTGAAGTTGCAGACTGCAACTAACTGAATACCACTCGCATCTTTTTTTGACAGCCTGGGAATGAGAATGGGCCCCATCTACAAGCAGTGTTTGGTTTGTCCGTTCTGGGCTACTGTAGAAAGATGAACAAAAACACAATGAATCCTATATTCAGGTGATTATAAAGTAATAAAAACATACCTATGAATATTAGATTACATTTCTGCTTTCTACTTTCTATAGATCCTAAATGTTACACACTGGACCTTTAAGTGAGCAGGTCAACTATTGAGAGACAGACTAACACAGTGTTGCTTTTGGTCTTTTCATTAGAAATATAAAAAATATAAAATAAATATATATACTAGCCACACCAGTTAATACTAGAGATGTTCCTGGTGACTAAATTAAATTTTTCATTTAATTGACAGCAAAGTTAGACTAGTGGACTAGTCCAAAAGTAATTAAATGCTAAGACTAAGTACACAAAGCGCGCACACAGCCAGACTTTACAAGTTAAGTTCCTCAGTATATCCTGTTAAACACATTTGACGTGGGAGCAGTTTGTTACATTATCAGCATTTACATGTCAGAACACGTTGGGATACGACTGAAACTGGCAACATATGGACAATAACTTTCTGCAGGACAACATTGTCAGTGATTAAAAGTTAAATAAAGACACTGTTCGTGTTATTAGACGAAGAGAAAGGGAGATCAATGCCTTTTGAATTTTTATTTGAGATCTTTTTTACCACTGGCTGGATTAACTTTGTGAAGACAACACGTAGAGGATGGCATCGGTGATGATGAGGTGAAGGTACAGAGGAAGAGTATGTTACAGCTGTCAGGGAGCAGGTAAGCCAATGGTACGTTATCTGTGTTTTATAATGTGATCTCCGTCATCCTAACTTTGCCAAATCTGTTAGTTGTGTGAGGTTAGCAGACTGCAGTAACCAAATGCTTCAACTATAACTCCTAAAGTGGGACAAAGAGGACTCTTAAAAACCAGCAGTGGCTGTTGTGGCAGGTGGCTGCGTAAAGACGACATTAACCAACGTTAATGTACATTAATAAAAACGGATAATTAGTTTCACCGACTATTTCTGGCGTCGACTAACGAGATTAGTAACATGTAACCGACTAGTTAACACAGCAGCTTTCATATGCAGCTTTATAATCAGCTGATAATATATTTTCTCTTTCCATGATGCCTTCTGGGATTGTAAAACACTGACACACGTACACACTGTGGTATTTTAGAAGACATTCACACACACACACACACACACACACACAATACAAATACAGATAGGCACTCTGGTATTCTGGTAATGTATTTCATGGACACACACACACACAGAAGGAGTAAACACACACACACAGCGTCTATGTTCCATTTAGACTGTATATTTACTCTGCATTACGAGGTTAATGAGGTGAAGCCTTTCCCTCTTTCAAACTCTCTCTCTCTCTAATGGATCTCTACCTCTCTCACTCTCTCTCTTCCTCATACTCCTGACTTAAATTCTCTCTCACCTTTGTCTTTCTCTTTATTTCTCTTTTCTTGTTTTCCTTTTCTCCCTTCCACAATCGTTCCTTAATGTCACTCTTTTGATCTTTGCTTTACATTTTTCTGTCTTCTGTTTCATCTTCTGTGTCTCTCCATCTCTCCCTCTCTTCCTCTCTCTCTCCATCTCTCTCCGTTTACCAAATAGCTGATGTCACTTTTTCCATTTCCCCCTAATGGAGGCAGAAACACAGAGCGATGGACGGAGAGGAAAAATAGCCAGAGATGAAGAAGGATGGATAGAAAGCGAAGGAGGCAACGAGGAAGGATGAAAAGGTGACAGCGCGGGGAAAAGAGATTGAAGGATCCGAGAGGCGACGTGGGAGAAAATGAACGAAAACGAAAGGGTGGAGAGAAAGAGGGGAGGACACGGCGAGAGGAGAGGTGGGGGAGATGATGGACAGAGGGGTGAGAGAAGGAGGCATAACATGATGAAATGATGTGCGTTTAAAGAACGAAGATAGAGAGAGGGGGCAGAGGATGACGGGTAATGAAAAGATAAAAAGTGAGAAACATGTCTGGGACAAACAGTGACCCATCAGGAAAAGGTTTATTATTGATTTTTAAAGGGGAAATCCACCTGAAAACACTCCAAACAAACAAACAAACAAACAACATCTCAACCTGTGTTTCAGGAGGGTTTCACAGCAAAGAAATGGAGCTAAACAAAGTTTTATTTTTTAAATACTACTTTTTTTTCAGTCAACTCTTAAAGAATGTAAAAATATCTCCCCTGTAAACAGACTTTGAGAGTAATGGATTACATGCAGTGGTCGACCGATATGGGTTTATTCAATAGCCAGCAGGGCGACTGATGGCCGATTTATAATATATTTCTACTAATCAATCCACATTACAGACTGATATACTTGTTTTAGATAGAGTTTGTGTTAATTAATGAAATAGAGTATGTCAGAGTAGACATTCAACTGCATTATAATTTAACCAGTGACAGTTTTAGATTAGATTAGCTGTCATTTAGGACGGGAGAAACATGTTATGTAGAGAAGTTATTTATGTTTACAGCAGGATGCAGATGTGTCTGCAGACATTTGTTTGTTTATCAGCCTCAGGAGCATCAAACATCTCAAAATGCCAGATAATCGATTATCTATCTAGTTATATGTAACAGTTAGGTAATCAGTTACAGTGCTAGAGAAAATCAGATTCAGTTACATTTAGTAAAATGAGGATAAACAATATTATAATAAATGAGTGCTATAATACAAGTACATGTTCATTATCATGACCTTCAGTGAACAAAATGCTTTGACTGAATGAAAATTTCACCTATTTTGTGTTTAAAGCATAAAAAGGGGACAACATCACAGGATAGTTCAAGTTATGCCTTCCAACTGTGAGAAACCTACCGTCTGAAGTTTGTCTTTAAAATACACTGAGCAGAGGACACGTTTTTGATGCAAATCTTAGTTTAGATGTGCAACAAATGTTTAAAAAACAACTGTGTGTAAAGGGGGGGGAAACATCTGGCGACGCACAGAGATGCAACGTGCTCGACTGCTCGCCTGACCCCATGCCAAGCACATCAGCCGGCAGAGTGGACGCCCAGCAGCCTTTCCTCGGGTTAGCAAATGTTACAATATTTCTGTACTTATGTAGAATACCAACTCAAGCTTTATTTTGCTGTTATTAGTAACTGTTATCAGGGTTCCCACTCTTTTTAACAAATAAGAAAATCCCCAGAAAATTCATCTTCTACAAAGTTTAAGAGCTCATTACACGTACAATTACCTTCACTTTGTATGTATTTATAAACCACAGCAACAACAAATGTGATTATTAATAGGCTGAATAATACATGTAGATATTTTAGTCCCACTTTGCATCTGGTAACCCGCTTAGAAGTTTCAGTTTATTCAACAGTCGAGTTTCAAAATAAATATGCACCTAGGTTTACGTAGGCGAATCTGAGTGAGGAGCTAAAACACAAATATTTCCAAGATATTTGCTCATTTTAATCAATTTCCAAGTGTCAACAACGTTTATTTAATGATAAATTATTGTAGTTGGGTTAAGTTTTATTTTTAAGTTTTTATTTAAGTGTTTTTTATTCATATATTAAAGTTAAGTTATTGTAATGTTCAATTTCAAGTTCCAATTTGACTTTTATTTATTTGTTTATTTATTTTTGGTTCATCAGTGCGCTTTTTAAAAAAAGGTATCGTTTTAGCTCCGGGATCAGAAAAAAATATTCTATCAACTAATATTATCAGTGTTAATAGACCGATATTAATAATTACTGAAGAGTTAAGAAGGTGAAGGTGAAGAAGAAAAATAAGGTGAAGACTGTAAAAAAGATGTAAAACAGCAGAGAATGAAAAATTAAAGGGATAAGACAACAGAAAGAGACAATGACATGAACAGATAAATTAAAAACCAGACAAAGGAAAACAAAAGGACAAAGAGAAAATATAAGAAGGATGAAAACAGAGAAAATAAACAAATAGCCTGAAAAGATGTAAACATGAAAGGAGAAAATGAAAGAGGGAGTAAATTCAGGGGGACGGAAAGAAGGATAAAAAAGGGCCGAATCTAATGATGGAGGGATGGAAGGAAGAAGGAGCGAGAGGAGAACAGAGACATTCCCAGACAGAACAGCCAGCCTGTTAAAACACACACACACACACAAACACACACACACACACCTCGCTCCATCATTAGTCTTCATTAGGGTCTTTATGAGGAAAATTAGAAAGGGAGTTTCCTCCCAAACTGAGCCCTGGGGTCCAACCTGCTGGTGTGTGTGTGTGTGTGTGTGTGGCTTGTGGTCTAAGAACTATGATACA